CACTATAGAACAATAGTGAAGTTGATGGCTGGCAGTTAGCTACACTCATTCACTTCTCCACATCCATCTCTCAGCTCAGATAATTTACTGCATGTCATTCTTTGTTAGTCAGAACCACAAATGTTAAATCCTTGAATGCCAAGGAGGCCTTGTACCCCACCCTGCTCTGTAAATGTAAGAGAATAAAGTTTTCAGTGCCTTTTAGAAGTCTTCAGTTTGTAAACTGATTTTTTTATGATATCTTTGTAACCTTTACTTTTTCCTCTTCTTGGCAATTCTGCGCTCTTTAATATTTATCCTCAAACAAACGGTCTAAACTCTCCACTGGCAAATTTGGATATGTCAGGAAAGTGGGCTCCTTTCCATGTACTGCCTTTGAAATCTGAGCACAATAAGATGACTTCACATTGCGTGAGCACAGCCAACCAAATCTAGGCTGAGGGTTACAGCCACGACAGACAGCGCTTTCATCTCAGCTCTCTTCAAAACTGCCAGAAATTATTGCTGCTGAAAGTAGTGCCAGGATCCTGGGGCCAATTTTCAAGTTTAGGAGGATGTGAGGGGTATCCTATACCACCCTATTGGCTCAAGGACCTAACGACCTCTCCTCTCCTCCTCACCCCTACCATGAAACATGGCAGCTGCTTGACACTCTGGTACCTCCCCTTGAGACAAAGCAGGAGTTTGGCTATTTGAAGGCTGAGAGAGATGTCGCTTTGAAGTCAGAGAAGTGAGATGGCAGGAGAAACAAGGGGAGGCAGTTAAACCACCTCAAAACTATTTTTTGATTTTCAGACTGCATAGAAAGTGGCCCTGAAACTTAGAACAAAACCTCAATCTTTCGCATATTCATCTTTGAAGTCAAAAATTGGTGGGAAGGCTGGCTATGAAAGCACAGACCCATAGCTTCATGAACAGCAAATTTAAGCAGTTTCCCCAAATTTCCTATGTAAGTATTGCTTCAGATTACTATGGCTGCTCTAAATACTGTCCCTCATCTTCTCTCTCTGACCTTCATTCCCCACATTTAGAGCTTACAAAGAAACTGAGATTTCCTTTTCAGCAGAATATACCATCACTATGCCTCATGCAGGGCCCTCTGTACATTAGAGAAATGGAAGTGTCTTGTGTCTTGTCCATCACTCCTTTATTAGAGGTAATTACCTCCAGCTGGGCCAAGTTGATTGAGCAAATATTCAATTTTCACATGATTTTGCTGTAGCACCATAATGAATGTGAAAGAAGGTCCGTGGAATAAATAGTTAAAGGAGTTGGAGCTGGAGCTGAAAACATGGGCTGCTTTGTTCTTATGACAACTGCTTCACCATCTAAAACATTCTCCCATTTTGAAGGATCTGTCTTTTCCAGCCACAACCCTCAAGCTATAGTTATAGACCCATGATTTTTTTTTATGCCAAGGTTATGAATACTCTTTTATGAATATTTTCCTTTGAACTCATTTTTGTTGAAGAAGAAAAATAGCCCTATGTATTGCACGGCTGACAGTAATAGACAAAACATAACAAATTATTCTCGTAGGAGCAGTAAAATGCTCCAAAATGCACATAGAAAAATTCCAAATACAACATAATGTTTATGGAGCACTGTCTTTGCAGCTCTAATTCTTAAAAAGTAATATTTCTGACTGGCATGTATTATATAGAACATATTTCAGAGATTAATATCAAGATTAATACCTTAAAATGTATCCATCCCTTCACGGTATCATGATTACTTTTCCCATATCACTGCAAACCCTGGGTGAATCGCATTTTAGGATGTGCCATTTGGAAGGAAGGAAATCTTCATTGGATTAAGCTGCTTATGTTTTATTTCTCCTTTTATCTCATTTCAACATATCCTCCAACTTCCTCCTCTAAAAATAATTCAACTAATGCCAACATAACAGATTATAGTAGATTTATTAATTTCATTTTGCCTCCAAAGGAAGTTATTATTGAGGCTTATAATTATATATGTAGTACTGTCAACCAATGTTTAGGTTCCTTATTAAAACTTCTTTTCATTCCATGTTAATATAATCAGTGAAATCATTTCTTTTCTGGTGTTAAAAAAAGTATGTGTTTTACCTAAGCCCCTTTCCAAAGTTTTATCTCATCCATAAATTAATCCAGAAAAGAGCCTTTTTTAATCCTGCTTTGGGGCTTAGATTCCTAAGCCCTGGAAGCATTCGTGTTATATCCATACTGATGTAAAAACCTTCGCTATGGCAGAAAAATAATTCTGCATACAGATAGTATGCCTCTGAAGCCTAGCATTGTCAGGTGAATTATGGCAAGGGTGATTTAAGAATGCTTCTCCAGACTGAGAGAATGACCTATAAAAATTCCAAGATAAATTGTTGCTTTGCATTTGGCATTAAGAATATTCTATGTTCTTTTCTCTTTTTTTTTTTTTTAAATTTTATTTATTTATTTATTTACGATAGTCAGAGAGAGAGAGAGAGAGAGAGAGAGGCAGAGACACAGGCAGAGGGAGAAACAGGCTCCATGCACCGGGAGCCCGACGTGGGATTCGATCCCGGGTCTCCAGGATCGCGCCCTGGGCCAAAGGCAGGCGCTAAACCACTGCGCCACCCAGGGATCCCTCTTTTCTCTTTTTTTAAGATTTTTTTTATTTATTCATGAGAGACACAGAGAGGGGCAGAGACATAGGGAGAGGGAGAAGCAGGCTCTCTATGGGGAACCCGATATGGGACTCGATCCCAGATCCCAGATCGATCCCAGGACCCTGCCTTTTCATGTGAAGGGGCAGTACTTCTCTGTTCCTTAAACTATAGAGGTTCACAACATGAGCTTTAGAGCCAGACTGCTTGGGTTCAGATCCCATTGTTGCCACTTATCAGCTGTGTGATCTTGAAGAAGGCACTTAAGCACCCTGAGCATCATAAAATAGGGCTAATAATATCACCTGCCCCTTGGGATTGTTGTGAAGATGAGGTCAGTAAAAAACATATAGAGCACTTACATCATCTGACACATAGGTAGTACCCAATAAGTGTTAACTCGGAATATTATTCAACTCCCAAGGCAGACATCCCTTTATATAAATTTAGAGCAGATTTGTAAAATAAAAAGAAATCCTAGAAAAATCTAGTTCTATAAGATTTACCAGTACACAGACAGATAATGCTATATACATGATTTAATAAAGTTCTGGCTATTCTTTTATATAATTATATATGGGGGGGGATCCCTGGGTGGCGCAGCGGTTTGGCGCCTGCCTTTGGCCCAGGGCGTGATCCTGGAGACCCGGGATCGAGTCCCACGTCGGGCTCCCGGTGCATGGAGCCTGCTTCTCCCTCTGCCTGTGTCTCTGCCTCTCTCTCTCTCTCTGTGACTATCATAAATAAATATATAATTATATATGGTCCAAAGATAAAAATATATTTATCCTCTTTTTTACATGGAAAAATGTAAATGTAAACTAATGGCCCCAGCACATTAGTTCAGTGAGTATGTAGTTAATGTCTGCTCAGAGCAGCATGCACATGAAGAACAGCAGGTACAACTACCTCTATCTACATGCAGGATCAATTTCCTAAGTGTTCAATTGGTCAAGTTCATTTTCTGGATAATTGTTTCCTATAGCTAGAGAAAAAAAAATCTATGAATTCCTATGTGTTTCCAGTCCAAACAACTTTGCTTCCATGAATCTCCTAAAAGAAATATGCTATAATTAATCAAATTTGAACACCAAATAACTTAACTACACATAAATGATCATAAACTACTGCATCACTACTGTGTTGACTTAATGTTAACTCTGGAGGTCACATTCAAAAGTCTTTGTATTCATCTCAACCCAGCAGCAAGTAAATGTCTGGTAATTATATAATTTAACAGAAAAAAAAGGCTAGAATATTGTAGATACACTTTGATTATAATTCTGTTTTCTTCATCTACATTAAAAATATGTGAGGAAAAGGTAAAGAGTGAATAGTGATGCTATTAATATAATGAGATCATAGTTTTCTCCATTTTTAATTTTGTTACTGACTATATTACTTTTACAATAAAGATGTTAAATTTGGGGATGCCTGGGTGGCTTAGTGGTTCAGTATCTGCCTTAGACTCAGATCATGATCTCGGGGTGCTGGGATCGAGTCCTGAAGCAGGCTTCCCGCAAAGAGCCTGCTTCTCCCTCTGCCTATGTCTCTGCCTCTCTCTCTGTGTCTTTCATGAATAAATAAATAAAATCTAAAAAAAAAACCAAAAAACAAAAAAGAACAAAGAAAGATGTTAAATTTGTAAAACTCTATCAAAATTGAACTAAAGGGGTGCCTAGCTGGCTCAGTCAATAGAGCATGAGACTCTTGATCTTGGGGTTGTAAGTTTGAGCTACACATTGGGTGTAGAGATTACTTAAAAATAAAATCTTTTGGGATCCCCAAGTTGCTCGGCAGTTGAGCGTCTGCCTTCGGCTCAGGGCATGATTCCGGAGTCCTGGGATCAAGTCCCACATTGGGCTCCCTGCATGGAGTCTGCTTCACCCTGTGTCTCTGTGTGTCTCTCATGAATAAATAAATAAAATATTTTTAAAAATAATAAAAAATAAAATAAAATAAAATCTTTTAACAAATGAACTATAAATTATATAATTTTTCATTTATGTATCAAAAAAGAAACTCACATGGCATTTGATTCTGAAGAAGACACTTTAATTAATTTTTATAAAATAAACCCTACAAAGATTTCTCAAAAGAAGTTTTAAAAATAACTTCTCAAAGTAAGTTCAAACTACATCTCTGTTTTGTATTATAAGCAAGGGATTCTCAAGTATAAAAGAAAATCAAGTTACACATTGCACATCACCATTATCCTTAAGTACTATTTAGAAAACCATGATACTGTATATATAAAACTCATTTAGTTCCATAGTTTCTTATCTAAAAGAGCTTTTTAAAGATATTTATTTTCTGGGTTTTTAAAATATTTTCATTCCTTATCTCTAGATGAAAATTGATGAGCAATTTAGGACATGATGTAAATCTAGGATTTATTGATCATATATTCAAAGACACAGAATGAATCTATAGGATACAGGTTTCACATGGCATTTGTCCGGAGTGAGTTTAAGTTGTGCCTTGACTTCTGAATGTGAAACTAGATACAATTACCACAAACTAAGACAGAATATTACAAATGAAGATACTCTAACACAAAGGCTTGTAGGATTTTGTTTAGATTGTCAATGGTTGTTTCGTCCAAATTTTCTTCATTGTCATCCATAGTGTGCCAGACTTCAGGGAAAGGAGATGGGATCAGATGTAAAACTGGAACACCTAATAAGAAAGAACCAACTTGTAATCAAGTGCTTATCTCCAGTGAGTAAATTAGAAAGTATCACTCTTCAAACACAAGTCTGAGTGAGAGATCTGTGCCATATAACCACAGCTGATAATTCATCATTTTCTGTATACTTCTTTGTATCTTCCCCTTTTACTCCAAAGCCATTCATTCATTCAACAAATGTCACTGTATTCAGTAACTAATTTTAAAGTGCTTACTACGTACCAGTCACTATTCTAGAAGTTGAGAGTTCATCAGTGAAAAGGTGAAGCCCTGTTCATACAAGAGCTTACATTCCAGTAAAGAAAGAAGCAAGTAAACAAATATAAAAATAATTTCAGAGAATGATAAGGGTTCTAAAGAATAATAAAACAAGGTAAGGGAAGAGAGAATGAGGGGCAGACAGCTGGGCCAAGAAAGATGTATTTAATGTTAGGGAAGGCTTGTTTGAGAATCTCACATTTGGTTAGAGATGTGCAACAAAGGGAAAAACAAGCTCTGAAAAGATATGGGGATGAGTATTCCAGGCAGCAGTATTAGTAAGTACAAAGGTCCTGAGGTAGGAGTGTGTTTGGCCTGCTTGAGGAACAGCAGGAGGACAATGTGGCTGGATCAGAGCAATAATTGGAGAGAAAGGTAGGAGGAGATGTTGGAGAAGAACAGAGTCATAAAAAGGAGATCCTTGTAGGTTATGGTAAAGACTTTGGGTCTTATTCTACATGATGGCAAGCCACCAGAGCTTTAAAGCAAGAATAGGGAAGAACAGAGAACAAAGAACAAAGAATAGGGAATAGGGAAGCAACTGCAAAAGCTAGGACCAATTGGGAAGCTACCACAAGAGCCCTTGAGATTATTTAGACTTCCATCACTGCTTCCCTATTAATCAGAAAACACCAGAGTTACACAATTTATAAGAATATAATCTTACTCTATGAATAAGAAGGCAGGGTCAGCGGAATATGGGCTTTTATAAATATTCTAGAATGGGGGTAGGGGTTTAAGGATTTGGAATGACTTCTAAGAAAAAAGAGAAGTCATGAAATAGTGGACGATTTAATCTATGAAGTAATTACATCTAATGGCTCCTTATCCTTCTATATTGTTGCAAATAAACAAAATACAATAAATATACAGTAAGTAAAAACTACATATGTGCACGCACATGTCCATACACACACACACACACACACACACATTACCTCTTCTTAAAAATGGAATATGGTCATCCTGAATCACTCCTCCATAACTATGATTCTGGAAATAGCACCTCTCCAAAGAGTGATCCTTGAGTAAACCTAATTTGTGGAGTTCTTGTTCTGCAGACAACAATTAAACAGTAGGTGATTATCAATTCTTAGCTGATCAATACTCAGAATTCACAGGGAATTTGAAATCTTGGCCATCACTTTTAAACAATATGCAGCAGTGAGCCCACTATACCCATGGCAATAAGCATTTGGGCTACACTTGCATGTACATTTCGGAGTAGTTCAAGGGAGAGAAGAATCACACATCTCTAGCTTTACAGGTGAGAACCTCCTTAGAGGTAAATACTAAGTTGAACAATGGAAAGATGGAGAATGAGAAAACCAGAGGAAAGCCAGGGCGGGGGGTGGGGACAGGTTTACCTCAGACTCAGGTAAAAATTTCTCTTATAATATTCTAGATTTGGATATTGGCAAAGTCTGAACTCACGTGGAAAGTATGAATTGAGAGAACTGTTTTTCCTGCTACTTAGAAAAATACAAATCTATCCTGCTCCAGTAAAGTTTGTGTAGCTAATACGAATTCCTAGACTGAAGTTCTTGCCTCAAAAGCAGGTCTCCTGGCCTAGAGTTTATCATAAAGATCTATCTCATTTTCATCTCTCCCTGATGCCAATCGGCTTTGTGTGTGTGTGTGTGTGTGTGTGTGTGTGTGTGTGTCTGCGCACTACAGGGTAAGGAGTAGTGGAGGTATGAAGGGAAGAATTATTCCTTTTCCTTCTCCAAGACCCATTTCTCTCTCTTGAGCCATAGATATTTTGTTTCTTTGCATGGCCTGGCTTGACCTTCTAGCCTAGTCTACTCTCATTTAACTGACCCTACACTGTCTCTTAAATGACTTTTGAAGGATCTTGGCTTTCTCTCACATCCCAATCTCTTACTTCCTTAGAAAATAGAGATGATTCTAGATTTAAAGGAAAACCATGTCTGAACAAGGTAGGAAATAGAAGATGGCAATGACAGAGATTTAAAAAAAAAAAAAAGAAAAATTAAAGAATCCTTTTTGGTATCATAAGGACTGTGACAGTTATCATTAGCCAGCATGCTTTTCTGAGTGTTTTCTCTAGACATGCATTCCATACACTGCAAACAGGATTCTGTGAAAATACTTTCCAACCATTGCTAGGGATATGCAAATATTAAATGTAGCATTGTATGTTTCCAGTTCTAAATGCAGTCTCATGCAGGGAAATAAAGTGAGCCTACTGAAAAAGATAAATGGGAGCAATAAACTAGTCAGTAAAGCAAGAAAAAAAGCCAGCAAAGTATATTATATTTTCAAATAATATATTTAAATCAAAAATTTTGAACTTTCTTTTTTCTTTTTCTATTGTTATAAATTTGAATTTTAAAATGTAGTATTTTTTCATAGGGAGGAACTTGGCTGACCCTTTAGTGACAGTGGTGCTTACCAATCGCTTCAAGTCTATTAAACCATCTGGCAGATTTTGGAAAAAAATTGGGAAATGTTGGGTTGGGTGCTCCAATTAAATCCAACAAGACCAATAAATCCTAAGGGAGAAAAAAAATTGTTTAATCACTGTCACCAAAACACATTTCTTATTCACCAATGGAAAAACAATAGTCAAAATTAACTGTATTTTAACAATTCAGAATAATCTAGAGAGCTGTATAAATGAAAAAAAAAAGATTTAATAACATTGTAAGTTAATTATCTTGAAGAACTTTTAAAAATCTTGCTTAATGCAACCTGGACAAATGGCAAAATATAAATTTTTTGTGTCTGTAACCCCAGAAGGAAATCACTAAGGATAGATTAGAAAGAGGACATTCAGATGATATTTTATATTTTATTCTTTATTAAAAAAGAATACATTTACTTTTATTTTCAGATGGGATTCCAAGCCTTTCTGATCATCTATTCCATTCTACTTAGTCTTTATATCCTTAGTCTGTAATGATACAGCTGCCTAGGGAAAGCACTTGAGTAGAACTATTCCTCAAAGCAGAATATAGGAAAAATTTCTTGACTACAAGTTCTGTGACCTACGGTCTCTGGATCCCATTTCCTCTTCCATCAAACCAGAAGCTCAAAGTTACTGGTTTTTAAAGGCCCCTTCCGATGATAAGTCTCCATAATTACACCAGTGTTTCTCGTTTGAGCCGTAAAACATCACCAGGCTTGAGGACTCCCTGAAGACTACCCCCACATTAAGAGCTCCTGATTTATATAAATGAGATAACATGCAGGTAGATATGTAGCACAAATCCTGACACATAGTAGATAAATATCTGCAGAGTCTATGATTCTAAAGACATAATATCTATTAACTCATGAATGATGATTAAATACATTCATCGGGGAAAATGGGTTTATTTGCAATAAGACTTTATTTACAAAGTTGGATAACCATCAATATGGATTCATATATTTGGACTGATAAATAACTTTGTCCCTCCTCTTGATCAACCTGGTCTCCCCTCCTCCTTTGAATTTCGCTTTTTAGCCACTTGGGCAAAGGACTGACTGAATGAGTGCCAACCATATTTCCCTGACCTATTATGAGCTGCCAACAGACAACAGTATGGAGAGAGTGCCGGCATGATGTGTTAGAGCCACAGAGGACACTTAATGTGGCTATTTGGACTCCAGGGTGAAGGTCATTGACATGGCAAAGGAAAGGGATGAGTGGGGGGAGTTAGGAATAGGCTTTGAGTTCACAGATAGGGTGAGGGCAGGGATGAAGACAGGGAAGAAATGAAGTCTCAAGGATAGCATGAGGTCCCAAGCTGCGGTTAGTGAGGATCTAAGACTGCGTGAAGGTCAAATATGGGAAGAGAAACAGAGTAAGGAGAGAACTCAAAGGTGAGATGAGGAACTAGGGATGGAGTATGGGCCCAGAAATGGAAATTAAAATGCGGCCATGCATTGCCATTACTCAATAATAAGAGCAAAGTTTTAAGGCAGCATCAAAAATGTTACCATCCCCATGCAATGATATTATACCAAAACACATCTGACACAATGTCACATACACACGTGGAGTCATTATAATACTTTGAGGACATCAAGGAAATTCCTCACTCCCATCCCCAATAACATGTCTCACTCACACTCTAGTTCCCAAGACCCCAGCCTCCTCAAGCTTTGTAGAGGCCTCAAAAAAGGAATTTGCTCTCACCATCTCTCCACAGAACTAGGGAATGTGCTCCCATTGAACTGAACTGAATCTGATGTTTCCTTAATCTTATTTTTTTTTACATTATTTTAATTAAGCTCGGTCAAACATAACTTCTAACCCAGAATCATTCTTTTCAGCTCTGGGATTCCTCAAAAGCCCAATGCCTGCCAAGGAATGTTCCATAATAAACACTCTGCTCCAAGACTGCAGTGGCATTCTTAGGTCTCTCATTGGCTTTAGCTTTGGTTTTCTTTGAGGCAGAGCCTGCAACTGCAACACCATGAGAATTCCCCAGACTAACCATGCCGTGCAGTTGGTTGGTGTCTTTCGATCCAGGTGGGTGTGGTGTTGATGCCATCTTGGGAGCTAAGTGCCGAGATCCATACAGAGAATCATGAAGAGACCAATGAAGAAGAGCCTCTTCCCCATCAAAGAAAATTAGCTGGAGTGAGAGATCTGGCTTGGAGTCTGGAATTTTCTGGTAAAAGGAATAGTAAAAAGATAGCAAAAACAGGATTTTTAAAAGACAAGATAGTTTCCTATTAACTGGGCAAAAGTACAGATATGCCATGAAGAAAAGGAAGATACCAGAGCAAGTAAAAATATGCCAAAATGTATTTTGTACCACTTTGCCTCCAAAAATCATCCCATCTCCCACAGTCTTCACCCATATAAATATCACTTTGTCTGAAAATAGAAGTCTTATATTTTTTCTTACTCCTTAGAGAAATTTGAAACTCTGATATTGTCATGGTGGGCAAGGTGAGATGACACATCACCCTGTTCCCCCCCAGAAGAATCTGTTGCCCCTGCCACCAAGAGAGCTCTCCGCAGGTCTTCAGCTGTTAGCCCCTTTCAGGGACTGCCTCAGCACCTCCAGAGCTCCCCAGGGTTGGCTCAGACAGTTGTTGAACGTGCACTGGCTGATTGACTTCTTCTTCTTCCTAATCCCACTTCTCTTTCCTCCCTGCTACAGCTGTTAAGCCAGGGCCACTCGCTCAGAAAGGACCTGAATGCTTCATTCCACGTCAGTGCACATTCCTGGGAACACGCAACCTGAAATAACTGCAAATTTTCCTTGCTTCCCACATTATTTGAGTCTGTAATTTTTAAGTGAATCTAGGTCCAAGGATCTGCCTTAAGGAATGCAACAAGGACACATAGAATAATAATTACAGCCTCTCCTGTGAAGGAGTCTACACGTCAGTTGTGTTAGGAAAGATATATATGCGAGCGACAAAGAGCGACAACAGTCATAGATGCAGCATAAAACATTGCTGGGAACTGCACAGAATGAGAGGTCAAATCCTTGGGGTGTCAGGGAAGACTTGATGAATCAGTATTTGAGCAGAACATAGAAGGGCTAGTAGGATGCTGGTCAATTTTATACTTTTTACTGTCACTTCTTGCTTTTCTGATGACTCCTACCCCCACGGTCCTCCAGCCCCACTGGAATCCTTGATCTGTTAAATCTTTCACCTGTTCACAATCTTTCACCCCCATGAAGTACTTCACTCCATATTCAGCTAAAATTCCACAATCATTCTAACCACTCCCTTGCCTCTCACCACAGTCAACTCCCTGGCCTCTCTCTGCCTTGGTTAAGCTCACATGGCAAAAAATATAACCTTTAGACCACCTCACTGCCTACCTTGTGCCTGCATATAGTTAAAGCTGGCTGAAGAAAAATATACAACCATTTGCTTCTTCCACCTCAACATACTCCTGGGGATATGCTCCCATCAGACTGAAGTAAATCTGAGATCTCCCTAATCTGTTATGGATATCCTGTCTCCTCTTATCTCTCTAAGAATTTTTTTTATTTTTTTAATCTCTAAGTATACTTAAAACAGTGTCCCTTAAGTTATCTCCTGCTCCTTGTGCTCTATTTCCTCCAAATTCATTTTTCAATTCGTATCATTTCACTCTCTTTCATGCTGGAAACCATCCTCAAATGTCTGGCCACCCTTTGTGTTTATTCATATTAAAGAATGAGGTACTAGGGGTGCCTGAGTGGCACAGCTGGTGGAGCATCTGAGTCTTGATTTCAGCTCAGGTCATGATCTCAGAGTTGTGGGACTGAGTCTCAAGTTGGGCTCCATGATCAGTGGGGAGTCTGCTTGAGACTCTCTCCCTCTCCCTCTGCCCCTCTTCCCATCACTCCCTAAAAATAAATAAATCTTTTTAAAAAATAAAGAATAAGGTACTAAAACACTGATTAGAGACACAGATTGGTTGGTTTTACTAGAAGGTAATATGGTGCCCAATTGGTGTTTTCACCAAAAGCCCCTCAAATCTTGGGTCTTTTTCATGAGGTAGTTCAAATTCCCCAGAGAAGAAGCATCCAGGTTCCCACCTGAGGGGTACAAGCTGAGTGCTGGCTTTCTCATGCTGATAATGGGGCAAAGGCCGGGGACCTCACTGTTCAATGCGCAGACTTTCACCTAATCTTTTTTATTTCCATGGGACATTTCATTCCTGCCCTCCTCTCTATGTGGCATCCTCACATCCAGAACTTCCCTGGTTTAGTTTCTCCAGAAAAATTATCCTGTCCTCTCCTATAAGGGCACAGGCGACATCCTCACCTATCTGCCAGGGATGGGGTAGGAATCTACATATCCCAGTACTCCTTGTGCTGACTTACAAACGCTTCCCTCTCAGCCCCCAGCCTCACTTGTAACTCCCTCACTATATCCACCAAACCCTGAGCCACTTCAGGAGTTTGGCAGGGGACTACTGACTTTCCACTTCTTCCTCAAACTGGGGAAAAGGACTTCTCTCTACTCACACATGTCATTTGTCATTTCTCCATTTACCTTTTGTCTTCATATTGTGGTTCCCATTAACACATGTTCCCTAGTTTCTTCAAAGATGGAATTTTCCTGATTGTTTTAGGGTGATTTCCCAAGATGGTAAAAAATGTCTTTATCATCTGAAAATTAAGTTATTTTTGTATGCTAATCATCACAATTGTTTTAGTATCACTCCTTAGACCACAAGAATATTTATAATGTATTTATTATAAGTAAATGTATATACATATAAATATAATTTATTATACTGAGCCTCTCCATAACTCCTGGGAGCATTAAGCACAGGATGCATCCAGTCTGTACAATACATACGTATTCGGAGTTCAATAACTCTAAGTAATTAAACAGATTTTCTCATTGGCTAAAGGTGTAAGGTACATACTTCAGTGGAGACATGCTAAGTTTCCAGTTGTTTAAAGGGCCTTGACTGGTTCCAAAGCTCTAGTTCCAAATCAAACAGCACAATAATGAAATACCAGAGCAGATTAAGATTGCCTGGGATGAGAGACATCCCACTCATGCATGCCCAGGGTAAAAGCAAGAGCAGGCAATTTTCATATTGTGTAGGTCTGAAGGTTCAGATGCCTCACTGAAATTTCAACAGGTGAGTGACTCCAGTGGTCAGTGCAATGGTTTACTTTCTGTTCCAATCATTAAAACAAGAGTGGACAATAATACTGAGTCCCATAAGGCACCTTGTTCTTTTTGTATTTTTTTTTTTTCAGGATTAGCAAGAAAATAACTGTGGCCTTCAATTTCTGGTAACTCAGTCTTGGATCTGGGAAAATCTGTGTGGCCTGATTTGTGATGGTCTTTCAGTTCTTCATGGTAATATGATAAATGTCTTGTTACCAGTGTCAACATGATCAGTGAATTATCTGCAGTCTTTGCCCATCCAAAGCTGTATCAGCTAATGCTGCAATAATAAGGGGTAAATACCCACCCCAAACTTTTTTTAAAAGATTTATTTATTTATTTATGATAGACATAGAGAGAGAGAGGCAGAGACAGAGGAGAAGGGAGAAGCAGGCTCCATGCAGAGAGCCTGACGTGGGACTCGATCCCGGGACTCCAGGATCGCGCCCTGGGCCAAAGGCAGGCGCTAAACCGCTGAGCCACCCAAGGATCCCCAATACCCACCCCAAACTTAAAGCAACACTTATGTGTCCTCCTGGGTCCGTGGATCAGCTGGGGGACAGCTGATCTAGGCTGGGTTTGATTGGAGGAGCTCTGCCTCACCGTGCAGTTATTAAGCTTGGCTCTGATCCACATGTCTTATCCTCCCCCTGAGACTGGTAGGCCAGCCAGGGCATGCCCTTTTGGTGGTGGCAAAGATGCAAGAGAACAGCCCGATTACACAAGCACATCTCCAGCCATTGCTTGTGTCATATCTGCTAGCATCCAATTGGCCAAGACAAGTCAAATAACCAAGCCCAGAGTCAAGGAATGAGAACATACAACCTGCTACAGGGGGAAGGCAAACGATGGGAATGTATACCTGTAATCTTACTACTGGAGGGTTGCAGAGAGTTGGAGCAATAATCCAGTCTATTCTCCTGTCCTTCTCCCAGGTCACAATCCACTACCACCTACCCAACCCATGACAGCTGAAGAACTTAAAATAACTCCTTAATATGTAAATTTATTTTAAAGTACAACTGGAAAAATGAATCTGATACTCTTCACATTTCAATCAAAACTAGTCCTTTTTTTAATTGCCCACATCACCGTTACTTCTAGGAGAAAGGATAATTAAGAGAATGTGTGTGTATTTTTTAAGTGGGGATGTCCAACCAGCAACTCATTCAGCTCTTTCTGTCTGTCACTAAAACCAGGTATGAGCTACATAGAAAAAGGTAAAGGAGTTCACCCAGAGAAAACACACCCATTCTACGGACTATGCCTTTCATTTAATCTCCTTATGGTAGAATGCAAACATATCAGCCTCTGAACTCCCCCACCCAATTGCTAAGGAAAGGTACTGGGTTAAAAGCAGAGCAGAGGATGGGAGAAAGACATTATAGAAGGTTCAGGAAACAAAATAAAACAAAACAAAAAAAACAGTGAAAATGATACCAAGAGGTTACAAACAATTCTTGCTTTCTTCAAGTTCAGCATATCCAGCAAAAATAGAATCAAATATCTCTATTACTTCCATTACAAGATAAACCTTTTACTTCTTTACCTCCATTGTAGCAGAGGCCGGCCCCTTCATAAAGCTCTCAAGGGGAAAAAAAGGCATTTGTTGCCTGCGAACAAAGTTTTTTGTTTTTGCTTTGTTGTGTTTACTTGGTTATGAGTGATATCTGAACAAAATGTCTTCATCTAGCTTAGCACTTTTTTCCAATATACCCTTAAGAACAGAGACTGAAATAACATCTGAGAGTCCCAGAAGCATTTTGAGCTGAGAACATAACAAAAGCTCTGCTATGCTACATAAAATTGAGCCGAGATTCACAGATAATAACAATAATGCATTTTCTGCTCCATGCTTTTCATCTTGATATGTCTGAATTACCCACTCTCAGCACCACTTTACAGCAACCCCCTCCCCCACCTCAAGAGCCACATCTCTCAGATTAGAAGGTTGTGATGTTTCATGGCTACATAAACAAGAAGAAATCCACATACTTCTCAAACATATATACCTGTACCAACTGTACACCTGCTTCATTTGTTGCAAAAAAATGTTACATTTAATATGTATGCAAATTTAGGTAATCAAGTGCCAATGAATAAATTCACTCTCATGTATCTTAGATTTACCCCGCATGGTTAACATTTCAAATAGTATAATCTTCCAATTAATATTCATTTTAACTCACATCATTTTGCAACAGATTAGTACAAAGTGTACTGAAAGTACATTTCTAAATGGCCTTCTTACTCTCCCAAGGATTCTAGAATTCACTCTGAGTTCTTCTAATGTGTTTTATCCCAAGAATATACGAGACGGAAACAAATACCTCTAAGGAAAGGAGTTGCTTGTCTAAGGCACGGGCAAGTTCCAACAACATTGCACATGGCACGGCTGAATCAGTGGCTCCCACAAACACCCTGTTGTCCCAAGGGTGAAAATACTTGGAGTCGTAGTGACAGGCGAGGACCAAGTGTCGTTTAGCAGTGGGATTGAGGGTGCTGATGATATTTGAGAAAGACCGGTATCCATAGGGTGTCTGACTCAAGAAGGTGTCTACTTCCAAGACCCAGTCGGCTTGAAGTCTCTGAATTCTCTGCATGATGTGCTGATCAAAAGAAAAACCAAAATTTCAGATCTGGACAGTTTCCATTGGTTAATTCTATATATATTTTAATTTTGTGTGATGTCTTTCAAGTTAAAAATGCAATACATGATTATGGAATTAATAGCAAGGATCATAGAATTAGTAGGAAGGATTCCTCTCCCTCTCCCCTAACCATCGACTTGCAAAGCAAATCCCAATCGTTAGTATTCACCAATGTTAATAGGCTCAGGTATATTTTTCCACACCATTCTTATTGTTTATATGAATATGTATTAGCACACAAACACATATTTGGCAAAGGAGTACATGTTTCTATAGGAACCTACTTTACACATGATTCTGCTCCTTGCTGTTCTCATTGAACAATATAGCAGAGTCATTTCAACACATCAGGAGACAGAGACTCAGTTTGGTACATATTAAAGTCCACTTTCAATATTTCTAAGAAGCAAAGAAGGTATCTTGAGAAGTCAAATCTACCAAGGTCCTACAGGTCTCCACTCCTACAGTAAGCTCTTTGAGGGCAAAAACAGCAAATGGTAGCTCCTTTTGTCCCAAGTGCATAGCATGTACCCCAAGGTCCGCAAATACTTCAAAATGTAATATATGCTAACAAAAGATACTGATGCTGTAATGAAGTCCCATAGCAAGGGGGTGGTTGGGGGACATTTGAGGTCTTGTCCACTTTAAGAATCAATAAGCAACTCTGAACCCTAATGACATATCGCATGGTTTTCCTTTTGCACCGAGGTAGATTCAAACCCCGCTACAAATGGCAAAAATAAAAAGGAGTCTATTTTCACATCTCTTGATGACCTGGAACTTATGACTAATACATTGACTGACAGGTCGCAGATGGAAAAGAAACACCACTTTCGAGACCAGCAGTGCCTTCCCTAAGAGTCTAGAATGTGCGATGTAAGGAGATACAGTGAGCTCACTGCTGTTCCATTTGTCCTTTTCCGCCTCCATTTTCTCTCATTTTATTTTTCTAAGTAGGTTTCATTTATCTTGTTTTATTTTGAAATATTGTATACGTCTTTGTAAGTTTGTCTTAGAGGATTGGTTTAAAACATCAAAAGACAAACTAACCACCACCAGAACTGGCAATTTGTTCCACAATTAACATTCAATAGGGATGAAATTTGAGGTGATAAATAACTCATAATAACTAGAAAAGAATGGAAGGATTTTGCCAGGGTTTTTTGTTTTTTTTATTTTTTTGAGGTTTTTCCCCCGCAAGGGAATACCAGATTTTCTAACCTACCCAACTCTTGTGTGGCCTGTCGTAACTAATGGGACATGACACATAGGCAAAGGTTTTGGAAAAACCGTGGCAGGAAGCTTCCAGGAAAATAACTAAACTAGAGAGAGAGGACAGTGATTCTCCACTCAAACCTGCAAAAGCCAAATAAACAAACATTTCGCTGATAATCACTCCCTGCTTTCCATAGTGAGTTGGACTTTGGCCACGATAGCATGTGTGCACAGTCCCTTACCTTTTCTATTACAAGTTTATAGGTTCTCCCTTCAAGTAATAAAAAGAAATGTTTCTAACCGTTTTAAAATCATCACTCATATCTCATAACTTTGTTTTCATCCACAATTCTCAATACTGGGCTTTGCTCACAGTATTAACTTGTCACTAAATAGAGGCTGACTGTAACTAATAAGTTAGTCTCAGTGAGAATACATAAAAGTATATGATATCACACATTGGTAGTTTGAAATCACTTTGCATCTCAACTTTGCATCTCAGATAAGCTTTCTACAGAATATGAAAATAAGTTATTCCTAGAGTTTGAGAAAAAGAAAATTTTCCATAAAAGGGGTCATCTTAAAAAAAAAAAAAAGGCATATACTCCAGAACATCTGGTATCCAGATGATGAACTGCTTCAAAGCCAATAGCAGCTTGTGTGCTTACAAAAATGAATTGAGATTTTAAAAATATATATCTGTTAGCTTTGTTCAGCTAAGGTCTCACACACAAACCCACTGCTCAACTAATAAATAGGTTGCGGACATAATTTCTGATACCTTATGTTGACACTAAAATCCACAAAAGCATCAGCAAATGCCCCCCAAATTCTCACTGAAGCAACCTTTTAACCTTTTTTATTCAGTATAAATATTTTTTAATTATCTTAGCAACGAATTTCTTTATAAACAATCGAATTAAAAAAAATAATAAAAAATAAAAAAACAATCGAATTGGCTCCATAATCTAATTAGGTCACCAATATCCCTTGCTATGCTTTTGGCCCTCGGGCTTAATCTGCAAGTTCCCACTGCAATTCTCTAGAGTAGGCTCCCAAAACTACTGCTTTGATCACTAGAATGCCCTAAGTGGGGAATGCTTCCTGAAACCTATTAGCAAGAACTCAGCCCCCCTCCCAATTGCAAAATGCAATTTAGGATATAGATTGTACTTGGATTATTCTTGATTTATTTTTTGGAGTGAGGAAAGGAGAAAAAGAAGGATGGAGAGAGATAAAGATGAATATATAGAGACAGAGAGACTGACACTGAGTAGATCCAAAAAGAAAAGGATACAAAGATAAAGGTAAAGATTATGAGAGAGAGAGACAGAGAGTGAGAGAGGAAGAGAGAGAAAGATAGACATAAATATGACATTCTACTTCCAGGGGTTGGGGAGAGCCTAAGCACTGTAGGTTAGCATCAGTCAATGATCCTGGGTCTAACTGAATTTCACTTAAATTCTCATTTCCAGGTTCCAAGAGACAATGATAGTAGTAGACCTGGTTTGTTTGGAGAAAGAAGATTCTACAGTATTTGCACGCAGTCTACAAACAGATCATTGTCAGGATGCTGAATCCTGCCACCGGAGACTATTCCTTCTTGAACATACCACATATTCATCTCTTGGGCTCCATGCTGAGGGCTCTCCATCCAAGACCCTCCACCTAGGGATATCCACACTTCCAGCTGAAGAAGCCCAGCTTCAGCTTCTCAGATATACTATTCATCTACAGGGAGATTTCAACCCTGAAATTTCTAGCTCGCTTCTTTTAGGCAAAGTTTCTGGCTTGCTCCTTAGTGAGATGTTATCATCTTGATCTTTAAACCATTTTTCCTAATCCTATCTCAGAAAGAAATCACTGAAATACCCCAAAATTTCACATGTTTATACTGTTTACTTTCCAAATGAATTCTCTCTTTAAAAATATACTCTAAAAATCCAATAGGCATCATTAGGCTCATTGATCAGAGGCAATAAAAATGGAGACTATGGAAGGCACCTGGTTGGCTCAATTGGTTAAGCACCTGACTCTATTTGGGCTCAGGTCATGATCTCAGAGTCGTAAGATTGAGCCCCCATATTGGGCTCACTACTCAGCATGGAGTCTGCTTGGGATTTTCTCTTTCCTTTCTCTTTGCTCCTCCCCTCTCTTAAAACAAACAAACAAAAAATGGAGACTTTGGGACATTGTTCCTATATTATTCTCAGAAAAAGAATCCATAGCAATGCATATCTTTTCTGATAATTGCAAAGGTCAGTTCAATAACCAATTTTATACCAAGTCCATGTACCTCTAGATTTGGGAGTCTTATCTAGTTGTAAGTCTGAAACTCTATAAATTACAAAACATCTAATCCAGTGCTCAAAAAGGTTTCAGGAAAAAAAAGTAGATTTTCTACTATTCTTGTTTGAATTTAGTTCTGAGTGACAGGTACTAATTCTGGTCAAATTGAGTCCATTAATGTAACTCTCTCATTATATCCTGAGCATCATCTATCTCTTCTAAAGCAGAAACCCTTTATCTTGCATAGCTTAAGGGGCAACTCTCTAAAAATTCATGATGATTTTCTTCTCAAAAAACTATAAAACTGAATCTCTTAAGTGAAATTTCTATCATAACCATCCTATTCGGATTACTGTCACATCAGCTAGAACATGCATAAGCAACCCAGCAAACAGGTCCCAACACATTCCAAAATACTGTCAATAAACTTCTCATTTGCCTCCACCCCACATGATGGCATGGAAAGTGTTATGTGTTCTGTAATTTTGATGTATTTTTTTAATCACAACAGTGTCTGTATTATTTATGCTATATATTCTGTTGAAAGCTAAATATAGATCCAAGTAGCAATATTTGTTGAGTTTAAGAATTTCTAGAGCCTCCGGGCAAGGAAACTCAGGTCTGAAGTATTCATATATGTTTCTATGTATGTACAGCCTCCTGATCAAATGGTATGGGGAAATGAAAGAAGCTGAATTGAATGAATGAATCTATAGACCTAATTTTTTTTTTTTCTAATGAGGAACTGAGGATTTTGGAAAGCCCCAGGAAGCATCCTGAGCTTCCTTTCAGAAAATGCTTGGGAGATGAGGCCTGGAAAATATCATTGAAATGAGTGGTATGTGTCTCATTCTCCAACTCAGGCAAGAGAAGATCCAGGGCTGGAGACATTTGTGAACACACACTACAGAGTTGGTTCCTCCTAGCCAATGCTCTTTAGCGATAGGATGTAGGAGTCAAGCAGATTTGGATCCAAATTCTGGTCTCATCACTACTATGTGTATATCCCTAACAAGTTAATCCATATAGCTAAATCTCAGGCCTTTTCCATCTGTGGCACTAGGATAATAATAGTACCCACATGACAGCATTGTTGTGAAGACCAAATGAGAAAAATCCATTCAAAGAACTCCATAAAGGACCTGACCAAAAACAGTGCTCCATGAAAGTCATCCATCATCATTATTATTCCTTGATCTGCCTAAAGGTTAGAAAGAACTAAGGTGTTCTTTGGTTCTCCACTGTCTAATTCCTTGGGAGAAACAGATGCTGTTTGGTTGGAAGACAAGAGCCTAATGGTGCAACAGACGATGGCTATCCTGGTTAGATGCGAGAGGCAGGAGCCATGTACTGGGCACAAAGGATGAGCATAATGGCTGTGTTGCTGGGCCTTGCAGGTGTCACTCTACTACAGAAGTGAGGGGTCAAGGTCTTTTGCCTGGAGAGATAGGCAGGTGGAGTACACTCAGAGGAGGATTTGAGGGGCCAGTCTCTCCCCATTCTTTCTTGAGCTCCTCCTCGAAATGGGGCTATTTTGAAAACAAAAAACAAACAAAAATGGTCATTTAGAGGTGGGATATCAGATCACTTAGGAAGACTGGCAGTAAGGAGGCAGAGACATTCAAGGTCTGGCCCAACTATAGTTTAATTTACCTCCTAGAGCAATGTCTTTCAAATTACAGTGGTAAAATCAGTGGATCTTGAAATCAGTTTACTGGGTCATGACCAGCATTAAAAAGCAAAACAAAACAAACCAGTAAAGTAGAATGAACAATATCAGGGTAAATCCCAGGTGATGCAAATAATAAGAGTGCGGATTTTTTTCATGGAACTTTTGTGTTGGTTAAATCTATTTTTACCTTTGTGTGTATAAAATCTAATTCTTAAAAGTTTTTTACTATTCTTTTTAACATGAATCAAAAGTTTCAGAAGCATCCCACTTGTGCAAGTAGCTTATCACTATTACTGATCTTGATTTTCCCTCCAGGGAGAATACAATTTCCCAAGAGGAATGAAGGCCTGATAAAACAGTAATTCACCCATGGCCCAGAATTGTCAGGCAAGGACCACCTAAGGCTATTGACTTTGGGGGTTAGGATCCAAGAAAATGTGGTTGGGTGCTTGGGGATATGTTATAGAAATGACCAGGAGTTGAATGCTTAGTACCCTATCTGCTGTTGTACCCCCACAGAAACTGAACACATACATTGATTTAGATTAACATGTATCACTCAATTCAGAACATTCACTCTCAGTTGCTTGATTTTCTGGTGAATAATAAGATGAGATGACAGACCTGAATATCAGACAAAAACTCGGGACATGATATTATCTCTCATGTGAAAGCAAAGTGTTCAACAACCTTCTGGTCTATGTGCCGCATCCTCACCTGGCGAGCAGCATAGCTTCCAGGAGATCCCGGGTATCGCTCTATAAGCAACGGTCGTAAGTCGTTTTCCCACATTTCAGAAATATTAGTGCCTTCTGCAACTTGTCGAAGAGACGATGAATTCAAAATGGCTGGTTCATGATAATACTGAGGATTAAATAACATTATTTAACTGGATATCATTTCATAAAATGGTCAAGACTCAACCTTGAGACATTTGCAATAGAGAACTATTTCCTTTGAACCTCAAACTAAAGAAATAGCTCTTACATCATAAAGCAAATTAAACTACTCAACTTTAAAACTGGCCCTTTAGATCTAGAAAGTTTCACTGTTTTGGCAGCTTATTTTAAAAACAAAACGAACCTAATGCATTGAACCTGAGAATTAATATTTGGCACTTCCTGTGTAACTTGTAATAATTTTAGTACAAATACTTTGTAAAAACTAAGATTTAAAATATCAATTATTAATCTCCTATTCTTAAGAAAACCCAACATTTTAAAAACTGCAGCCAACAATATGATTATACTTTATTATTACAATGGCTTTATAAAAAGGCAATATGACATTACAGAGGTGCCTGTGTTAAGCATCTGCCTTAACCTGCCAGAGTTCTGGGATCAAGCTCCGTATCTGGGATCCTTGCTCAGCAAGGACCCTGCTTCTCCCTCTCCCTCTGCCTGCTTCTCCCCTTGCTTGTGCTCTCTCTTTGTCTGTCAAATGGATAAATAAAAATCTTAAAAAAAAAAAAAAAAGGCAATTTAGTGAAGAAATACTGTCTTGGAGTCAGAGAAGTTGGATTCAAAGTCCCTGGCTGTTGTTTATAGGTTGTATGACTTTAAGCAGGTCCCTTAATTTCTCATTCCCCTCAAAAAACCTAATAAAGGAATTTGAGCTACATCTTCACTGTCCAGTATGGTAACCACTAGCTGTATATGGCTATTAAGCTCTTGAAATGTAGTTAGTTGAATTGAGATAGGCTGTAAGTGTAATATTCACATTAGATTTCAAGGACTTAGAATAAAAAAATGTAAAAATATCTCATTAAGTTTTATGGTAATTATATATTGAAGTGATCATTTTTTTGTAAATTGAGTTACATAAAATATATTTTAAAAATTAATTTCACCTATTTTTGCTTTTTTAGTGGAGCTACTAGAAAACCTAAAATTCCGTATGTGCTTCTCATCATATATTTTTATTGGACAGTTCTAAACTACATGATCATTGAAATTCCTTCCAGCCAGAGTTTGATGATTCTATAACCCACTAAATAGTACACTTTTTAACTTCAGTTAAAATATTTAGAAATTCTATTAACACCCACACTTTTAGGAACATTTACCTATTAGCTGAGTTAACCTTAACTTAAAGAGCTAAATATACATAAATATCAAATGTGTATTTTGGGGGTTTTTTGTTTTGTTTTTTGTTGTTGTTTTCAAATATGTATTTTGGTTATGACTTTATGCATGCTGTATTTTCTTGCAATACTAATAATAATGAATCATTCATTCATTGCATGTTTATCAGGTACTCAGTGATAGAACATGTCACTCCTCCCACAGGGAAGTGGATGATTGATCAGGTGATTTCTTCCCTAAGGGGAATGATGAAGGTAACTTTAGGATATTAAGTTCTGTGGGGGTTTTTTGTTTGTTTTTAAAGATTTTATTTATCTGAGAGAGAGAGTGAGCATGAAAAGGGGGAGGCACAGAGGGAGAAGCAGGCTCCCCACTGAGCAGGGAGCCCAACACGGGGCTCATTTCCAGGACCCCAGGATCATGACCCAAGCTGAAGGCAGACACTTAACTGACTGAGCTACACAGGCACCCTGAATATTAAGTTCTTTGGAATGCAAAACAGAAACCGGGGGAGCCTTGTCTACTTCACAGATCTTTCCAACGCTAGTGTTGGTTGAATATATCTCAGTGATCACATAGGTATTTTCATTCCATGTGGCTAGTGAGAAACTGTGGAATTAAAGAATGCCAATTGCCAAATTACTTATACTCTTCTACACTTGGCTGTGTCTCCGTGTTACTCTCTGGGGTGATCATTACAAGGGCAGGGGCTGTGGGTTCAGACACATACTCTCAACTCAGCTCTCCACCCCTCACTAGCTGTTAATCTGGCAAGTTACTTAACCTCGTTAAGGCTCAATTTCCATCTGTGAAATGGAGGTAATAACACCTACTTTCTAGAGTAATTATAATTAAGTGAGCTAATATATGTAAGCTATCGTAGTAAATATTCAACAAGTTATCATTCTGTTACCATCTATCAAACACAAAAGAGGTATAGAATTTAGAGCTGGAACGACCACTTATAGATGATCCAGTCCAAACTCCTGGATTTATGTCAGTGGAAACTGAGGTTCATAGAGACCAGATGATTTTCCCAAGGTGATAGGAAAGCTCCAGGTAAGTCCATGAAAATATCTGGGTTCCATGGATTCCCAGTCCTCTGCCCCTCTGCTGCCTCCCTGCCTCATCTGTGAATTGCCAGTTACCCCTAAATGTGGATGTTGTGCCTGAACATCTTAAAGTTAGTCTTCATTTACTGATATAATTTTAAATATATGTCCTGCATAAAATTGTCACTGCAGCCTTTAAATCCCTTGGTCCTTTCAGGACCTCAGTCTACTTAAGTTAGCTCTCAAACAGTGCTTGGAGAAGAAAGCTGACACTAACAGACAAAATAACAGAAATGTGAAAAGGGCAAAGAAAAAACTAGAGGTAAGAAGTGGGAAGACGTCTATGGTTAATTACTCCTTAACCAGGCCTGTCTGGTCTTTCCTGCCACCTCGCTGCCCCCAGATCAGACCACTCACCCCAGTGCACCAAGCTTCAGTCACCCTGGCCACCTTCCAGGTCCCAAAGCAATGGGAAACTCTGCTCTACACAGCCTCTGCACCTGCTGTCACTTCCGGCTTGCAGGCTATTTCTTCCCTCTTCACCTGACTCCTTCCTGCTTACTCAGATGGTGACTTGGAGACCACTTTCCTGTATGTCAACCTGTTTAACATCTGATTTCATACAGGCCATCCGCTCCACGAGGGCAATGATTGTCTTTATAGCCCAGTCCCTCCCGTAGCCACACAGCGCCCGGGGCATACTGAGTACTCAGTCAATATTGGGTGAGGTCATCAAATAAGGTATTGACAGATGAACAGTCTCTCTAAAACTGTCTTTAGAAAAGCCTGTGTCTACATCATAACAAAGCAAAATGAACATTATAAATAGCAAGTCAGTTAAATGAGAGAAACAAGCAGCTACCTGCTGCAAAGAGCTTTAAAAAGGGCTATGATTCAATTTTGGTGTCTTTGCTCTTTTTTAAAATTTCTCATCTCAGGCCACCTGGGTAGCTCAGTGGTCGAGCGTCTGCCTTTGGCTCAGGGCGTGGTGCTGGGGTCCCCAGATCAAGTCCCACATCGGGCTCCCCTCGAGGGGCCTGCTTCTCCCTCTGCCTATGTCTTTGCCTCTCTGTCTCTGTGTCTCTCATGAATAAATAAATAAAATCATTTACAAAAATTTCTCATCTCAATACCTGTGATGCCTAGAATTGGGCTGGCCCAAGGGCAGTCTCTGCGACAATTGAGAACTGTTGTGTCAGGAAGGCCATCTGACCAGTGACTCCTTTTCTGTTTCGTGTCCATTACTGCATCCCCAAGCCTACCTGTTCACTGTGGACTAGGTCCTTCCTGGCATGTCCACAGCAGGGAGGAAATTAAGCTCATAGTTAAATGGGCAATTTATGGCAATCTGTAAAAGAGTTCTTAAAAGATTTAAGAAAAAAACTGGAACAAGATAGAGAACCCTCCAGCATTGCTAGCTGTAACAGATACCATAGATTAAATAGAGTTGAGAAATAGCACCAAAAAATGCTTAATGGACGAATGAAGGGTAAGTTCAGCAGACAGGCCCATTGATTGATGCTCCTCAAAACCCAGAGTTTCATGTGTTGCTCCTCAATTTCCTGGGCTCAGCCATTTAATTAACGTGCTTCAGTAAAGAGCCCTCCTCTCCCTGCCTTGTTGGGAGGAAAGATGACCCTGTGAAACCATACGAATAAAAGCTTCACAATCAATGAAAGACAGAAAAGGGAAAACAACCACATTCTGTTAATTATTTATGCCTTCCTAGTCATTAAAGCCCTGTACAGAAAAGCAATGGACTCTCCCAACCAAAATGGTGCCTTCAACTTTCAAGGAGCCTTACTCTCAGAACCCAATAAATATAAAAATCTATGTGGAGATGAGAGGAAGCAGTGAGAGAAGAAACCTGTAAAGAAACTCTGGGCTGGACATGAAGAAAGTAAATGAGGCAAAAAACAGCGCTGAGCCCAGTGTTAAGTGCAAACCCCAAAATAGTCTAGGCTTATTTCAGTGAAAGGACACATAGACAAGTTTCTTTGGTATAGGCATTCTCAGAGGAACAAATCTCTATTACAGCCCCTGCCTTGTCTTTTCAGACAGGCAGAAAGGACAATAAGTCTGCTTTGGGTGACAAGAATCTTTCAACTAAAAAAGTGTGAACCAGATATCCTGAAACATCTCCTCTAGGCTAATCACATGGTGCCAGGCCAAAGAGGGTTTTAATTACATAATTTGTAGAGCTGGTCCCACTTGCAGGGGGATTTGAGGTCCCAAGCCATTGAATTAGAGGGAGATCATTATAGAAGCCCAGAGACTTCAATTCCAGTTTTCATTCCATATGAGTGTCTCCCAGATAACCAGTAGTGTCTCCTGTGTCTACCAGTAGATTCAACCCAGCCAGCGTTTACAGAAATCCTTCTGTTGTGCCCAATGCTTCTGACATGACAAATGCAGTCATGGAAAAGTTGAGAGCTGAATAAAAAAAGTTCTGTCTTCTTTCAATGCAAGAAGCCCTCTACCTAAAAGCAAAGCAATGTAGGCTTTGAACTGACAATTTGTTTTTGTTTTTTTTCTAAAGATTTTTTAAATTTATTTATGAGAGAGAGAGAGAGAGAGGCAGAGACACAGGCAGAGGGAGAAGCAAGCTCAATGCAGGAAGCCCGACATGGGACTCGATCCCTGGTCTCCAGGATCACGCCCTGGGTTGAAGGCCGCGCTAAGCTGCTGAGCCACTCAGGCTGCCCTGAACTGACAATTTGGAGTCAAATCCCAGATTCCTGACTTACTGGCTATGAGTAGGAAAGGCCTACTTATCTGTAAGGACATTAGAGTACTTACCTGCCAGGTTGTAGAAGCTCAAAAAAAGGCACATTTTGTCTTTCAACTCCTACCAATATCCAGCCTACCACCGACCTCCCTGTGCCTGCCTTGGAGTCTCCATTGTGGTTTCCCTAAGAATCATGGTGGGTAAAGTGGTGAATGGCTACAGACTTTTAAAACCATGGAAGAGGGGAACCTAAAAACCTTCAGAATATGTATAACTCCAGAAGTAGAACAGTGTGAAGTGCTGAAAACAGCAGTTAGAGCATGTCAGAGGTGATCCTGGAGGAGGACCCCTACCAATACATTGGTTCCCAACTTTATGACAGAACAAGTTTGGAAATAACCCAAATAACCAACAATAAAAGGACAGTTAATGAATTGCCTTCCTAATTTCTGACCAGGAAGGTACTCAGGGTGAAGGGAAGAAGGAAAGGATTTAGGTATGGAACTCAATGTTCCTTGATGGATGTTACTCCTACTGAACACCCATGGAAAGTTTTTCTTATAATGCAATTATTCTTGAGTTGCCTTCCCACATCCTCACCAGGTTCCCTGTGGCTGGTGGTCTCCACATGGAAGGAGGGGCACATTGTGGCGTCTAAATGGTGAAACTAAGGAAGCATAACACAGAGAACTAAATAAATAGTGGGCTATTTATATACACAGGCTTGTGGCTGGGTGCAACTCTGCATGTGACCCAGACAGGGCCTGTGCGTTCACCAGTGCCCTGTATTGCCAACGTGTCAGGAAATACAAGCATTCCATAAGCATTTAAAAGATGTGTCCAACAACAGGGGCACCTGCGTGGCTAGTCGCTGAGTGTCTGCCTTTGGCTCAGGTCGTGATCCCAGAGTCCTGGCATCGAGTCCCCCATCAGGCTCCCTGCGGGAAGCCTGCTTCTTCCTCTGCCTGTGTCTCTCTGGCTCTCATGAATAAATAAAATAAAATAAAATAAAATAAAGATCTGTCCAGCAGCACTGTCAAAGTTTATAACCCTTTACTGTGTTTCTTAGTACTTTTTAAAGCATATTATTTTACTTCAATAATTAACATATGCATAATTTCCTAGCAACGTCATGATTTCAAAACAGTTACACAAGAAAAAGAAATCATTTCGAACCTAGTTACTTCACCAGAGGAAACTGGCATCCTCGGTTCCTCTTAACAAATCTCCCACCTACAACTAGATACGTTGCTCTGACAACTGCATTTATTCTCTTTTAAGAAAAAAGAAAATGTTTTACAGTGAAGCTGGTCTCCAGTTAGAGCTGCTCCGCTTAAAAACCTTAAACGAGGGATCCCTGGGTGGCGCAGCGGTTTGGCGCCTGCCTTTGGCCCAGGGCGCGATCCTGGAGACCCAGGATCGAATCCCACGTCGGGCTCCCGGTGCATGGAGCCTGCTTCTCCCTCTGCATGTGTCTCTGCCTCTCTCTCTCTCTCTCACTGTGTGCCTATCATAAATAAATAAAAAAAAAAAATTTAAAAAAAAAAAAAAAAACCTTAAACGGGAGCACGCGTCTGTCCAGACACTGCCTGGAGACCCGGCGGTCCCCGGGCGTCGGCGGAGGCAGCGGTGGGGGGCGGTGCGCACACCCCCGCGCGCCCCGCGCCCCGCGCAGCCCAGCGCTGCAGCCGCGGGCCTCCGCGGTCCCGAGTGGGCGGCGGCGCGGCGGAGCGCCCTCGCCTCGCGTCTCGGCCGCAGCCGGCTAGACACACTTCCTGTGCCTATCGGTGCCCGCATCAGACCGCAGCCCACGGGAGGCCGGTGACATCACTCACCCCGGTGGCGTCTCCAAAGCAGCCCCGGGGCCGGTGAGGCACCCCGACCGGGACGCGCAGCCCCGGTTCCCCCGGGCGCCCGTTGCGGGCGCGGCTGCCCGGGCCGGGGACGACCGCCCTGCCCGCCTCCCCACCCCGCCAAGGTGGGGTCTCCCGGCCCCCGGCGCCCGCGCGTCGCCCCAGCCGCCCAGGTACAGCCACGCAGCCGCGCCGCTCACCTTCTCCTGGATCCAGTCCACCGAGACTCGGCGTCTGACCCCCCGGGCCGCCAGGGGCAGGGCAGCCAGCAGCAGCAGCAGGTGGACGGCGTCCATGGCACGCCGGGCCCCGCCGCCGGCCGTCTCCGAAGCTGTCTGGGCGCAGACTCCCCTGGCCGCAGGCGGTCACGAGCCCGGGAGCGCGCGTCCCCCGCCGCCCTCCTTCTCCAGCCCGGGTCGACTGCGCCCGCCTCCCCATCGCCTCCCGGTCCCCTCCCCACTGCGCTGCTCAGGCCGAGGACGCAGCTCTCCTCCCCCCACCCCCGATCCTCGCAACCCCGGGGCTGGGCTGTCCCGGGAGGCCGGAGCTTCCGAACCTAACCCAGGGAAGGAGCCGGCCACTTCCTTGTCCTGGAGAGGACGAAAGGAAGAGACAGGGAAGAGGCATTTTTATGATCTCCGGTGCCTGGTAACTGGGGATAGAAAGGGGAGGGAGGGTTCATCAGACCCTGTGTGGTCTGATGAAGTGTTTTCCCACAGCTCTTCAGGAAGGGTTGGACAGGGGATCGACGTTTACTGAGTACTTCTGTACCAGGCACTGTCCTAGGTGCCTGGCTCTTCCGATGTCCCTTCTATAATCTGCATAACCACGTGAGGTTGGTATTAACCCCACTTTACAGATGAGGAAACTGAGACTCCCCCTGCAGCAAGCCTGAACTAGAACCCTCAAAGTATTTCCTTTATAACAACCCAGCGTATCTTTACCTTTTTCTCGCAAATAGTTACCTTGCCTTACGGGCAACAGGTCATCTTAGAGGCGTGATCAACGAACGTGATTATCTGAAATAAATGAGATCGAAAGTGTTCCCCGTGGCTCCTTAGGTGGTCATCTTCTCCAACGCATGCCTCCAAAGAGAAAACCCAAATACGAGTGTATTTACTTTGTAACGTCAATGACCAGTATCATTGGCTTTTCAAGGTTATCCTAGAAAAATAATAAAACAATATCTCAGTTTTGTCTGTAGGGATGTAGTCTTAAATTGTGAAGACAATTCCTTCACCATCCTCTTTTTCTTTTTTTTTTTTTAATTTTTATTTATTTATGATAGTCACAGAGGGAGAGAGAGAGGCAGAGACATAGGCAGAGGGAGAAGCAGGCTCCATGCACCGGGAGCCCGATGTGGGATTCGATCCCGGGTCTCCAGGATCACGCCCTGGGCCAAAGGCAGGCGCTAAACCGCTGCGCTACCCAGGGATCCCCCATCCTCTTTTTCTTCCAGACAATGAGGATTAGGGTGTGGTCGGCCTGCCTCTTTTTCTTGTAACATATAGACCCCAGAAAAATCAGAGCAAGGACACGGAAACAGACCTATTTCCCCAAAATTGAAGGTCTGAAGGTAAAGGAGTTGGCCAGAAGACTCACCCACTCTGTCTCCTAAACTCTTAAGAGTCAAAGACAGGGCAGGCCTGAGAATCCACTGTTCTGCCCTCCTCTGGAGCTGCAGGGAAGACAGGATGAAGTACCTATTTTCCTGTTTATTCTCAAAATTACTGATCCTATTCATGTCTGAGAATTCTGAGTGACAATTTAAATCTACAGGCTTAAAATTAAATTCTTTATTACCTTCAAGGATAGTTCTTCTAACAATCAGACTACTTCAGAATTCTCTATTAGTATAATATTCAGAACAAAAGCATTGCCACATCTTCCAATATGTTTCCTCTCTTGCTGCTTAAGCCAACCTTGAAATAGTGGATTTCCTGAGTGGCTGGGGAAGAAACCACCTAATTGTTTTTCGTACCCTGTTACCTTTTTATCTTTGCACAATATGATTCCTGTAAGAAAAGGAAGGTAGGAATAGCAAACCGATGTGAGACAAAATGTTAAAGGTAATGTCATGCTAAGTATAAGCAATTTGAAATGAAAAACAAGGAAACATTCGAGTTAAAATGTTAAACACATCATTTTATGATGATTCTCCATCACCTAGGCTGCTCCAGTTTTCTTCAGTTTTGGTTACATTTTAGTCAATAAATGCTGTTGTAGTTTGGGAGCTACAGGAAACTGATTCTGAGACAGAGTTTAGCATTCAGGGTGTGTCCTAGGGAGTGTCCTTGGGACAAACCCCTGAGGCAGAGAGAGGGAGGAATAGGGCTGGCAGAGGGAAAAGTTAGCTGGGAAGTGGGTCCCCCTCCACAGCCTCACCCAACCCCATGGGGAGCCCTGGAGCTGAAAGCCCTGTTAGCCAAAATGTCCAGGGCTCTCTACCCCCACCTTAGTGGAGTGACTTCCTGCCAGCAGCTCTCTGCTGCCAACGGAGGCAGAGCCCACAGCTAGAGGCTGTCTGCCAGAAGCACTCCAACAGCTGGAGCAGAGTCCTTCCCTGAAGGGGCATCTGAGCAGTGCCTGTCTGTACCCACCGCAAATGCATCCACAGAATGTATCCCGCACTAGTAAATGAAGCTGATTTCAGTAAGTAAGCTGTTTTTTTACACGTAAGCTTTTCTGACAACTCTCCATAGAACTACAAATCCAACACAAGCCTCTGTGTATCCCTACTCCTTTCTTTATTCTTTTCTTGTGCCTTATGCACTAAATATCCTTCTTTCCTTTTCCTTTACTTATTCTATTTCTCTCCCTTCTTTCGTTCTGGAAATTGTCAGAAATCCCTTATATCTGCTATTTTTTCCCCTGCTGCAACTTTCCCTTTCTTCACATTCTTCCGAGGGAAGATAACCCGTGACTATTATGTTCAATTAAACAATTTCAGGCCCCATTTCTCATGGAAAAAAATCAGTTGTGTATACAGTGAGAGCACTAATCACAAGTGGTGTGGTTATCATCTTTATTACAGTATAGATTCTGTACTGTGATTTGAACATAGAAAGGACCTAACTGCTATAAAAAATTACCCCATACAGTTGCCATGGCAGGATTTTCATACGTCTAATCCCACCATTGGACTCATGCAATCATAACCAGAAAGTTTTGTTACAACAAAACTTTGTTCTCAAAATGTGACGCATGGATTCCTGGGGATTCTCCAAGACCCCTTTGAATGTCTGCAAGGTCGAATCAATATTTATAATATTATGAAAGCAAAATTAGCTTATTTTACTGTATTAAATTTACACTGATGATGTAAAACTGCTACTTAGTACTTACCAAGACAGGACACAAAACTGTACTATTAAAAAAAAACTGTTTACTTAGAAGTCATTGTATTATTCACTGATATGCACAGTAAAAAAAAAAAAAAAAAAAGGAAAGGAAAAGGAAAAGAACAGACAAAAGAAACCAAAAGAGCCAATCTCATTTAAGAATATCACAATGAAAAAAAAAAAAGAATATCACAATGAAGCAACAAAAATTGTGGTTATTATTAAATCTTAACCCTTGCATACTCATCTTCATTTTTTAACGGCTTTATTGAGATATAATTAAAATACATTAAACTGTATAAAGTATACAACCTGATGAATTTTAACATATGCTTGTACCTATGAAACCATTGCCACCATCAAGAAAATGAAAATATCCATCTTTTACCCATGAGATGTTTAAATTATGTTACTTAGTTTCCAAATAGTTGAGAATTTCCCTGATATCTTTTTGTTATTTATTTCAAATTTAATTCCATCATGGTCAGGGAACAGACCTGGTGTAGATTAATCCCTTAAAAATTTTTGAGAATTGTTTTATTACCCAGAATATGATCTATCTTAGCAAATGTTCCTTGTGCCAGTTAGAAATAATATGTATTTTTTTGTTGTCATTGGGTAGAATGTTCTGTAAACAATTAGGTAAGGTAATGTTCTCCAAATCCTCCAATTAATAACTGTTTTTTCTGTCAACTTGGGCTATTGATTACTAATGGAGTAAGGAAATCTCTGACTATAATTGTGGATTTGCCTACTTCTTTTGGATCTATTAATTTTTATATCATGTATTTCTAAGCTTTCTTATTGAGTGCATAAATATATAGGATTGTAATGTCCTTTTGACAAATTGACACCTTTATCATTATGAAACAGCCCTCTTTATACTTGGTAATATTCTTTGCTCTGAAATTTACTTTTTTTCTGATATTAATGTAGCGACTTCACCTTTCTTTTGATTAGTGTTAGCATGGTATGTCTTTCCCCATTCTTTTTGCTTTTGAACTATTTTCTTATTTACATATACAGTGAGTTTCTTGTAGGCAGCATATAG